AAATAGTCATTGTGTTTTCTCTTTAACATTAAATATTTTATTTAAGGCTCAAGTCTAGTACATTTTTTGGGGGCACACAGAACCAGTCTAATGATGTGTATTCCAGGTTCTGCTGGTTAGTGTAATAATCCTCTCCTCAGGGCTGCCAGATACTCCCCACACCACTGTATACACCACTGCCTCCGAGTTGGTCACTGCGGTTCTGGAAGCGCATTATGGGAAGTGTGGGATGGTGGTAGTTTTTTAATACAGCGTTCAGGGGGCTTCCAGGGAATACTTGTGGAGACAAAGACTGACAGTATGAAGTGTATTTCACGGTGTTTGCACATGAATGTTGCTTTATGCATTCTTTTGTTATGACGGGTTCGCTTTAAACATGTATCCAAATAAAGGTTTAGCCAGAATCAGGTTTTTTTTTTTCACCAAATAAGGCCAGCTATGTATCTTAAAATCTTCTGTCACCTCTCAGACACTCCTCGGATCGAGTGGGGAAGTTGGAGTCACTGGTTGAGTCGTACAAAAAGAAATTGGAGGATCTGGGTGACCTGCGGCGCCAGGTGAAGCTCCTGGAGGAGAGGAACACAGTTTACATGCAGCGCACCTGTCAGCTGGAGGACGAGCTTCACAAGGCACATGCCTCTCGCGGTCAGGTGGATGGGCTCACCAGACAGGTAAGTGGATGACTTCCAGCATTATTGGAAAGTGGCAGGAATATACTCTAAAGCTGAACTTTGATGTCTTTCCAGTGTGATCAAACACACAAAATATCTAGGAAAGCAAACTAAGGAACGGATGAGAGGTGACTAGTGATGTGTGGGGGCTTTATCTGAACCAAGCCTGCACAAAACTGTCAGACATACCACCCTCCTGGTCCAATCAGTTGCTGCTGGGGCATTCCCCACCTTGCAGCTATACGTGCCAAAGGGGCAGGCAAAGCCACTGCTGCAACTGATGGAGGGGTGGGGGTGTCATTAACAGTTTTGCATGGGCTTGCATGAACTTGGTACGCACCAAGCCCCCACACATCACTAGTGATGACTGCTTGTAATGTGGGCAGTGCAGGCATGTTTGCGCCTTGACCAGATGCCTTGATGCTGGACTAAACCAGACAGGTTCACAGTGTAGGGATTTCTGAGTAATAAAGAGTGTAGTAGACACCTTGGCATTCCTGCTCTTTGGACATTTACAATTGGAAGTTTAAAATGGCTGACACCTTAAGGCCTTGTTCACACCAAATGCAGACCAGATCCGGTCAGGTTTCTGCACACGCAGTGTAGTGGGTTGTGACGCGTTTTGGATGCGTTTAGGGCCGTTTTTTTAAAGTTTAACATGGACTTTCAGGCACTTGCATGCGTTTTTGATGCGTTCCAGACCAGATCCAGACCAGGTAAAATAGGGCTTGCCGCATTTTTTTCATCCGGTCTGGATCTGCACGCTGCGATGTGAACTGGAGGTCAAAATACCATAGGAATACATTGGACACAGTTTTGATCCGGTCTGCACCTGCTCTGCTCCGCGCTTGGTGTGAACAAGCCCTAAACATTTTACTGCTTGTGTCTGTTCATTTTTATTTTTACCCGCTCCTGTTAAACTTTTTTCTTCTTTTTTTTTCCTTTTCAATTTCAGATCCAGGATCTGCACAAGAAGCACTCCTCGGAATCTCTGCGTGCCGAAAAATGGCAGTTTGAGTTCCAGACACTTAAGGAGAAGTTTGAAGCTCTACAGAAAGAGAAAGAGGTGAGCCTGGGTACTACTTTACAATGACGGCTGCTCATGCCAGTGCATACAATACGTGTATGGCAGGAGCTTTATTTTAAGCAAAGCAGATAGTCAAGCTGCATTATCATCTGTCTTTAAAAGAGAACTATGGGGTAAGTGGTTTTTCCTCATGTTTCTCTTAAGGGTCATGAGAGGACATATACTAGCCTCCTCCTGTGATCCAAAGCTCTGTATATCGCAAGCTACAGCTCGCCGTATACTGAGACCGCCGCAGCCGGGACGGATCCCGACATTACTGTCACCCAGCTGTGTGAGTGACAGCTGGCTCTGCCTATCTAGTCGGCGCTGGAGGAGCGGGGAGGGGGGAATCCCTGCTTGGAGCCATGACTGACGGTCACTGTTCTCTACAGGGAGATGATCGACAAATGAGCGAGCGAAGGTATGTGTTCGCTCACTTCCAGATCTATTGAGCCGACGTGTGACAGTTTCATTGTCACACGTCGGCTCGAACTATGAGGATGAGTAATTTTTCACTCACCTCATAGTTGTCCTTTTTTAAAGTGATCCTAAATTGTGAAAGGGAACATCTAGAAATGTTTGTTGCACTTCTTGTGCCTGTAGCCTCATAGTTCTATAATTGCGGTTTGAGATCTAAAACACTGCTGCCTCTGACTGCTAGTCTCAGGAGATTTGGACTGATATTTGGTGATGTCAGCACTTTGCTGCTCACGGTTCTCCTTGCTGGAGAGTAATTGTTACCTGATGACCTGCTGTACAACAAGCTCCCTGCTTATGTGGATCTGTTTCCTCTACCTCCCCTGCCACTTCTTGTTTAATACACCACCAGTCATCAGATCCCCAGTTATTAGGGGGGGCAACTTTGATGTGAGGGAGCAAAGCCTCTATTCTATCAACATGGCCACCTCCCCATAGAGACACAGTACAGAACAAGGCATGATAAGACAATAATAACAATAACAATCAGCTGCAGGAACCACACAGGCAATAATTATTTTCTTGCCTTTTTCAGGCACATCTTGAAAAATACAGGCCCTCTGTAATTGCTCTATAAACGTTAATAGGCCTGGATGGAGTAGATTCCATTTAAATAATCATTAATGAGTTTCTAGTTTTGTATCTTCTTGAAGGTTTATGGTTTTAAGTCACTTTTTTTAATCTTTTTGTTTTGTATTTCATTTTCTACTATCTATTCTAAAATAATTTTTCCCAGAACTAAGCCTTGGGCACAGGGTGCACCTATTATATTGGTTTTGCAAGGCATTCTGTGTTAACTATAGGGCACAGCAGTAACCTTTCCCTTTTTGATACTCTAATTTCATCTGCATGCAAAGCAGAGGTCTGGGGAAAAGTCGTTCCACAGACTCCTCTTTTTAGCTGTGTGTGCAATTTGAGCATTGGACATTCAATTCTGTAAAACAGTTTTTGCAAAGTAGTTACAGGTAACGCGGCCCTGTTGCTAGAATCACAGAATGAAACCAGCGGTGTCCCATGAAAGACCATTTTGAGTACTTTCCTTTTCAGCAGACAGGTGCCCATTGTTTGCTGTCTTGCTGAGATATAAGCACAGCTTCTACTTTTGTGTCGGGGCGTCCCCCACCTGTGTGCTATGGTCCTTCCCACCGGCCATGGCATAACTATATAACCCTTTATATTTGTGATCTAGTATGTATGTTATATCGGACGTATCAAACTGATCTTGTCGGTGAATTTGCCTGTTGCATAGTATGTGGAGTCCTGCATTAACCTGTATATGTATTTTCTCCCTAGCGGTTGTTGGTGGAGCGAGACTCTCTCCGGGAAACAAACGACGAGCTGCGCTGTTCTCACCTCCAGCAGTCCTGTCTTGTACAGGGAGGTAAGTGGCCAGCAGGGATTTGTGACAACTTTTTATTTTAACAGATTTCCTTCATTCCTCTGATTTTTTTTTTTTTTTTAAGGGAATCTTTCATGAAAAACTTTGAGGCCGCCATTGCTGACCTTTCTGACAATTGTGGCTGTTGAGCTGATTGTCCGCCTCACCATTTATAAGGTCACTGACTTGGAATGAGGCTACAGCCATCGAAATTAGAACGCCCAACCTTTATAATCGTTGGGGTCTGTGATTTATAATCTGAGCTCAAGGCGAACCTTTGCTTCTGCCACTTGGAGCTTACACAGAGCCCGGTGGGGGATAAAAAGGGAGGTATTTGGTATAATTAAAGGAAACCGGTTGCTTTGCCCTGTACAAGCAAATTATGGTATCACTTCAAAGATAATCATGGCTTCCACAAACCAGCTTTTATAGAAGTGGGGTAGACAGTGAGTGACACGTACTGCATTTCTCTCTTGATGGGTTACTTTTACCAGTCAGGCCACAACTTTACAGCAAAATATTAATTTAATTTGGGTGGATATTGACACCCAGCTGCACCTCTGTCTTAGCCTGCTCTGTGCCTAGGTCCTAGCCCCTCCACACCTCTCTGCCTCACCCAGTGTCCCACTGCAACATTGTCCTTTGTCCCATAAGCCCTGCCGCTTCTCACAGTGTGCATTAGAAGCTGCCAGGAAGTCAGATGGGGCCCTTCTCAATTCCTGGCTAAAGATGATAATAATCTAGCTCTTTCCTCCTCAGCCTGCGTGCCCAGGGCCATCCCCTTTCATCCAGTTATTTCAATCATGATGGCTCAGCATCACTTGTGGGTATTACCGCAGCTTCCTGTTTTCAGGAAATGATGTACTGCACCATGTCAATCCCTCCCACTAAACATGATATGTCTGCATTGCATTGGGAAGCACAGAGACCCAGGGATGGTGTCACTTAGTCTAATAGGGCTTTATTTAATAATTTCATTAGAATATTGATGGGGGGAGGGCAGAAAAGACAAAATATGAGCAGAGTATCCTTCAACTTTAAGAAGCTTGAGGCAGACTGGTACAGACCTAAAAGGAGATCAACTTCACCTGTCATTGTTCTCTGAATGAACTCAGAAGCATCTGAAACTGGTCTTGAATGCATGCAGAATGCTCCCAAAAGCACTCAGAATTTGCATATTGTATAAGGGATGCACGATACCGTTTTTTCTGTATCGAGTATGAGTACCAATACTTTGCTTTCGGTGCTTCCGCTGATATGGAGCCGACTTCCCGGGCAATCTGATTGCCCGAGAAGCCACCTCCATGTTGTCTGGCCGTCTCGATGCTGATCGGCCGAGAAGCCGGCTTCTCAGCCAATCAGCAGGGAGCCAGCTTCCTGGTTCAATCAGAAAGGCGGGCCATTAAAAGCCGCTCAGCTTCCTGATAGCACTGGAAGCTGGCTCTATATTCCCCTTTCTCTGACGAAGTTCCGGTATCAAAGCATTTGGGCGAGTGCTCACCCAAATACTCGGCACTGATATCGGTGCATCCCTGATAATACTGTTTCCTCTATTTGAACACCACTTCACCTACTTTAACCAAAGCACAAGGGAGTGTGGATGCTGTATGGGTTGTTCCCTTTTAGTCATTGCCTGTCAGTATATAATTTCTCCCTGCTCCATTGCAGATGTTCTTCTTCTTTCCGGGCCGTCTCCTCCAGTGGAGAATTTGGCAGCGGAGATCCTTCCAGCAGAAATTAAGTAAGTCTGTCCAGCAATGTCTCCTGTCTGTGATGTTCTCTGCCGGGAGAAGAGTACAAGCAGCCATGTTTATATCTAGCACATGGATCGGGGTCACTTTTAGGCCTCATTCACACGAGAAACGGCCGGCACGTACAGCTCCGTGCTGCGTGCACAGGCCGTATCGGGCAGCTCCCAGGAAGGACAGGTGCTGCGTGTGATTAGGACGCAACCCCTGTCCTTCTCTATGGGAGTACGCGGCCGTTCGCTGCCCTACGCTCACCCCAAGTGTGGGTGTCCTGGCTCGGACGCAGACGGGATCCATCCCGCATGGAATTTTTTAAATTCTTATTTAATCTGCTGTGAGATTAGCTAGAGGAAGTGGGGTAAAGTTTGGTGTGGGTGGGTCCTGGGCTTGTGATCGTCTTTAATCCTCTATCCCTAGGCACTGGACCTTGAATACGCTATGGTATATGCAGTCCTACATGTCTCATCAAAGTTCTGTATATCTACCAGGGAGACGGTGATTCGGCTGCAGCAGGAGAATAAAATGCTGTGTATTCAAGAGGCCTCGTACCAGGAGCGCCTCAATGAACTGCAGAATCTGCTGGAGGAATCAAACCGGGCCCGTAACCGCCAGGAAAGCGAGAACAGGTAAGGGACCAAAACAAATATCCGTTTTCATTCATTAGATTTTTGTTTTGCAATAATGTCAAGAGACGTATTTTTAAAATGGACCGATCAATCCAGAGCTGACCAAGTCTGCATCAATAAATTCCTGGCATGCCATAATATACAGTGGTAGTATAACTTTAGCAAAAAGGAGTGCCTTTTATCATTAGAAAGCCATTGTTAAGATCCAGTCAATGACTTGCCTGGGCCGAGATGATGTCATCAGTCTGCTGCCGGCAGGAGGAAGCATTTCTTCAGTCTCCTCAACTCCCAGTGATCAGACTGCAACATTGTAGCAAGTGACAAGGTCGGAGGGGTCAGCAGGGGCTGATCTAGGTCAGGTATTTGTCAACACTGGCTGCCATGCGGTTCCAGTGACTACTGCACTCAAGCAGAATTTCTGACTTCCTAAGCTACATGCATTTTGTGGGTCAGTGACTCAGACATTATTGAAGCCAGACACAGCCTATAAACTGTTAGTCTTAGAAGGCTGTTGGCCATGTTGGACCTGTATATCTACCTCTGCAGGTTTCCTTTTTATTCTGACACCGGCTTTGATCTTGTTTCCAGACTGAACCAACAGCTGATCCAGGAGTTGCGGGCTCAAGTGGAGGATCTCCAGAGAAAGCTGCGGGAACAGGGCAGCCGTGCCGAAGATGTAAGTACCGCGTGTGTGTTTCTAATGTGACAACCGTATATGTGACTCTGACACGTCCTTCTTTCTTTTCCAGTCTTCACAGCTGAAAAGGAAGTTGGAGGAACACCTGTAAGTGTTTTTAAGTCGTTTTAAAGTAGAATTTATATTATAAACCAACTGTGGACACTTTTAGCACAAAACTTGACCATTATTACCTGGACGGTAAGTGATGGGAATCCAAACTTTTACAGTTGTCACCAAAACGAGAAGTGAGTGGAAATCTTCCAATGGGGACACCTGTTTCAGTGACGGCTGTCTTAGAGGGGGTTTTAGGCCGGGTTCAAACCACAAAGTCTGCGTTCGGCCTCTGGAATCTCACTGCGGCCGGGGGGGGGGGGGGGGGGGG